AGTCTTGGTGCGACTAAGTGGTTCGAGAGTAGTAGCCAGGACGCAGTAGAGCTCGGGTTCTTCGCATGGTCGAAACAGATTCTAGACCTTTGGGAATCTAGTTTGGTGCAGCCTCGCAGTCTTGCACATTGTTCCCAGCATGTCCAACTGAAATTTTTGTCGGTTTATCTTGAGACACGTGAGTCGCATGCCTTTCTAAATGAATTGTCTGGATGAGGCCATCGCTTCGCTCGGGTGTAGGCTAATCTCCATAGATGACTTTGTATGGTCGAAGTTGCCAATCTCCACGCGGCAACGCCACTGCCCACGGCGGGGGCCAAAGTAAAGGCGCCGCCCAAGGCAGCGGTCCTCCAAACAAGAAGAACACACATACAAACATTCGAGATAAAGGTAGAACAAGTTCAACCGAATTCAGAAGGAAGCACAATGAGCAAAACGAGCAAACTGCAACCATACAAAGTCCCTTCACTCAAAAGTCCCTCCAATCAAATCCTTGATAGGATCCACAATTGCACTGAGGAAAGCCATGACCTAAGTTTGAACAAGACTTGTTCATTGGCACACATGCACATCGAACAACTTCTCAGCCAGTGACCACTGCCGCACAAACGCCAGCAGATGTTGCAGAAAGCACAGGCCGAGCGGACAGCTCTGTCAGCAAGCGGCCTGTCAGACCAAAACTCCCAAGAGCAGCCCCGGGTGTGGTGGACCGGGACCAAGTAAGTTGCTTCTTGTTCGATTCTAATTAGAGTCTAATTAAACTTGTTCTAGGTTAATTCTATTTTTTCTTGTTTCTAATAGCTTCTTGCTCCTAGTAGTAAGGCCAGGAGCCCCTAGTAGCGTCCTTGTTCCTAGTAGCGATGCCCTTTGTTCCTAGTAGCGTCCTTTGCCTCCTACTGACCGGGACCAAGTAGCTCAGAGGAGGCCAAAAAGGGAGACACTTCGCTCTTGGGGCTTGCCTGCTGAGAAGCACTACGATGAGCAACGTCGCGTAGGATGCAAATTGAATGTGGATTACGACAAGGTAGTCATAATGATCTGTAACCTGTTCGACTCTACAACGCCGCAATTCTGCGCTGCTATTTCTTGAAGGTTTTACTGATCTCCACACAAGGTACTGACAGTATTTGTTGTTCCTCTAGAGAGTTCAGGAAAATGGGGGAGTCGCTCCCCAAAACAACCCTGGATGTCCAATCATTTTCATGCTCTCATGTCAAAACTCAAGCACAGTGCTGCAATCTGGAATGTTTGCAAAACATCCTGATGCCATATGATGGCTTTCATCTCGTAAGAACGGAAGGGTGTAATGAAATTGAAGCCCTTGGCTAAGTTACTTTTGAACAAATCAACAAACCGAGCACAACCAGCGATCTTGGTACTAAGTACTAAGTCATAGGATTGGTATGTGAGGCGCCTGACTCCTGACCTTAAACTCAGCATCACACCGACCTACTTACCAAGTCACCAACTTAAGGCTCTTCTCTTTTTACAATGACTTAGAGCCAAGCTCTTTGCCGAAATTAGAATGGCGGAGATGGAATTATCTGATTGTGGGACCGAATGAACTGATTGCAGAGTGGCATCGAGCACGTTGATCTTTGCAGCCTCGTGAAGTGTCTGTTTTTTGAGACTCAGGGATGTGCCGCACCTGCCGCAGTGACCCCATGCGCGCTGGAAGGCAAATTGGTACAGCGGTGCGCACCGGAAGCAAAGATGGGAGCCCCACAAAGGCGAGAGCCAGCGCTGAGCACCTAAAAGCAACAAAGCGAAGTGGAATATGTAGTGGAATTGCTTGGAGCACCAGCTGAAGTGGCACCAAACGGACTCTTGTGGTGCTACAACAAAAAAGGCTGTCAAGTTATATGTAAAAATAGTCATATAGTCTCTGCAAACCGATTTTTGGGAGAGTGCTGAAGAAGAGCTGTTCGAAATGTCACCAAATGCATCCGAGACACATCAGTGCAGGGTGTCCTATCAGCATCAGAAAAGCAAAATTTAGCAGCGTGACTAGCAGAAAAGTACCCTGCAAGGAATCTTCATAATCTTGTTACACCGGCCTCTTAAACAAGGAAATGCTCCTGTTGGCAACGTGGAGAAATTTCAACCCGCTCAATGTATAGCCTCTAAGTCGCACAACAGGCTGTTCCCTCAACCCCCACAACAAGTTCATTGACATCAAACTAATGAAATACACCTTCCCCCCACCCCCAGCAAGTTCATAGAATGGAGGCAGCGTCCATCTCATCATATGCCAACCAGTCAACACCCCCACTTTTGTCTTCCATATCAAAAACACTGTATCTAAACACCCTACAAAATGTGCTCCAAAAAAAACGTGTAAACACCCTTACAAGTGGCCTGCAGACCATCACGAAACTTAAACAACAAGCCGCTTTGTGAAAAAATAAATGGTTGACTCTCCAGCATCACTAGGGGAAAATGAGCATAAACATTTGCATAAACACGGATTATGATTCTAGAGAAACATATTGGTTTGCTCCATTTAGCAGTCAAGTGGCTGTGGGTCAAAAGCTGACCCACACAAATTCATTGGACAGTGGTGGCTGCTGAAGGCAACGAGGAGTGGATGGGTAGAACGACCAATTTAACGCATGTTGGCTTACATAGCTGCCTCGACTTTTTTCAAACCTTGAGTGGGCCTCTGTCATCTGCAGGAACACCGTTTCACGGTTCACGTGCTGCATCGTGTTTGTTTTTCTTTTTTCCCACAACTGAAAAAGCCGGCTAGTACGCGATCGGCCGGCCGGCCAGTATTGCCGCGATCGGCCGGCCAGCGGGCGACAAACATCGTTGCAACGATCGCTGCTAGTGTCTATAGTTGGTTGACTGGGTGTGCGGCCGGCCATTCGGTTGTTCGGCCAGTCTAGCAAACATACATAAGTAGTGGAAGTACTCGTACTCGTACTCGTACTCGTAGTCGTCGTAGTCGTCGTAGTCGTCGTAGTCGTCGTAGCCGTCGTAGCCGTCGTAGCCGTCGTCGTAGTAGGAGTAGTAGTAGTAGTGGTAGTCGTAGTAGTAGTAGTAGTAGTAGTAGTAGTAGTACTAGTACTAGTGGTGGTGGTGGTGGTGGTGGTGGCGGGGGTGGTGGTGGTGGTGGTGGTGGTGGTGGTGGTGGTGGTGGTGGTGG